GTCCATCAATCGAGTAACACATTGAAAATGGAAATCAGATTCATTTGCTGTGTTTTAGTCTTAGAGAGTTCCAGGTTTGTGTTGCTGCCCCGTATGCATTCAGGAACCAACTCGATAACAGTTTTATCCTTTTCTAAAGATTTAGATACCATTTACTAGCCATCGTTTCTAGATTTTCTTTTATTCCATTCTTGTTGAAAATCAGGTCAGGAGTGGTTCATGGCTAGTTTTTCAATACCTCCCTCACTCACCATCATTTCTCCGGAATTACCAGTATGAGCTCTGAGATGACGGCTGCTGGCTGTTTAAGCACCCTGATGCAATTCATCAGGGGCTGGCTGGGAAGAGCTCATTTGTAGCAGCTCAGGTAGCCATTTTTTCTCCCTGCTTCTACCTGGTGGCAATCCCTTCTTTGCATTTAATTCAACAAAAAATTCCTGAGCTCTTGCAGAGTGCTTGGCACCATGCTTTGTTTTAACCTTTCCAATTTGAAGACTGTCCTCTTTCCTGCAACAGGCAGAAACAAGATAAGAATTGAGCTTTTCTGCTTTTTCTCTCTTCTTAAGGGAGGACCTTGGGAATACTTGTTCGCCTTGATCTGAAGGTTGCTTTTTCCTTTGATGGACCGTCTTTTAGTGTTAAGTCTAAGACCTCTTTATCGCTAAGGTTTTCGCCTGTGTTTTTCTATAAATGTTGTAGTTTTACATTTTACAAAGTCCATGCTTCATTTTGAGTTCATTTTTGTATAAAATGTGAGACCGGTAGGGGTTCACTTTTTTTTGTTGTTGTTGTCTGTTGATGTCCAGTTGCTCTAGTGACATTGGTTGAAAAGGCCGTCTTTCCTTCGCTGGTTTGCTTTGACATGTTTGTCAAGAATCAGTTGGGCACATTTTGGGTCTGTTTCTGAGTACTCTGTTCTGTTCCATTCATCTATATATCTAATTTTCTGCCAATGCCACCCAATCTTGACTGCTGCAGACAGATAAAAAGTCTCAAGAAAAGGTAAAGTGACTCCTCTCATTTTATTCTTTTTCGAAATTGTTTTGGCTATTCTAGTTCCTTTACCTTTTCATTTAGATTTTAGAACAATCTTGTCTATAGCTACGAAAAATCTTGCTGGGATTCTAATGGGAATTGCACTAAGCTTGCATATCTATTTGGGAAGAATTGACATCTTTACTACACTGAGTCTCTCAATCCATGAAAATAATATGTCGCTCCATTTCTTTGGGTTTTCTTCCAGTTCTTTGATCAGCGTTGCGTGGTTTGCAGCAGACAAGTCTTACATATGTCTTGTTAGACTTACACCTAAGTATTTCTTTTTTTTGAATAGTTGTAAAGGGTATTGTTTTTTAATTTTGGTGTCCATATGTTTATTGCTGGTATATATATAAATATGATAGATTTTTGTATGTTTATCTTTGTCACTTATTAGTTCCAGGAGGTTTTTTTGGTTACTTTCTTGTTTTTTATTCCTTGGGCTTTTCTAAGCTTGTCAAGTGAAACATCAGGAGTGAAGTGGTTGGTGTGGGGAGGTGGGAGGGAGATGGACGCATGGCCAAAAGGTGAGCTTTTGGGTGGCACCCTTCCACTGGGTCTGGGGCGAGGCATGACCTTAGCTCTGCTGCCCAAGCCAAGTGCTGGAAAGGCTGTAAGGTGGTCTGGAGAAATAATTTGGTGCTCCAGGCTCCCACACTCAGCTGTTTGGTATTTGTACCTTTGCCTTAGTTTTCAGGCCAAAATGGTTGGTGGTAGTGGTAAGTGTGAGAGTGTGTGTGTGTGTGTGTGTGTGAGTGTGTGTGTGTGTGAATTCTAACCTTCTCTATGTTAAGAGGGAAAAAGATCTGTCTGACCTTGGCCAGGACAGAGAAGGGCCGAGTTCAGCTGAAGGCTTGTGTTGCCCCAGATCTGGAGGAGGTGGAAGGAGAGGGTCTGGGTCGATAGAGATGCAAAGTCACAAAACAAGGAGCATCAGAGTGTCTGAGGATGTTCATTTCTGCACCTGGAGGTTTCTCCTGCAGTGGCCCCGAATTGCTTTATGTGTGTGCTTGTATTTCCAAAGGGGGCTCTTTAAAGCCACAGCCCCAGGAGAGACCATGGCCATCTTCAGAACCCTCAGCTCCTGTCATATGGAGGCCACTCCTTATCTGATGGTTGAGCTGGTCCCAGCTGTAGAAATGGGGCAGAGATGAGGTTTGTGGCAGTGCCACAGCCACCCAGTTTTTCGTTCTTGGAAAAGTCTGAGAATTCCCATCGACCCCTGGGAAAATGCCTAAATTCCCCTTTAGTGTATCTGCAGGCCTCTAGTTAGAATAATTCTACTGATGAAGCTGATGGTAATTGACCACTAGGTGGCTGCTATCATGCTACAAACCTGCAAGGTATTATTAATTATCCTCATGCGATGGTTAATTTTACATGTTAAGTTGCCTAGGCCACAGGGTGCCCAGATAGTTGGTCAAACAGTCCCCTCCTCCTCCTCCGCCTCCTCCTCCTCCTTCTTCTTCTTCATTTTTTTTCCTGTGAGAATATTTCTAGATTGGATTAACAGTTAAATGAGTAGACTGAGTAAAGCAGATCGCCCTCCATAAGGTGGGTGGGCCTCATCTGATCAGTTGAAGGCCTGAATAGGACAAAAGGCTGATTTTCCCCAGAGGAAGAGAGAATTCTCCTACCTGACATCCTTCAACCTGGGACATTGGCTGTTCCTTGTTTTACACCAGCTTCCGGCCTTCAGACTCAAAGTGGGACATTGGCACTGCAGATTTTAGACTTTCCAGCTTTCATAATTGCATGAGGTAATTCCTTATAATAAATCTCTTTATATATATCCAATAGGATATATGTGTGTGTGTGTGTGTGTATATATATATGTATATATATACACATGTATGTATATATGCATGTATTTATGTGTATATACACATAGGATATATGTACAAATGCATATACACAACACATGTGTATGCACATGTAGGATATATGTATATATCCTGCTAGTTCTGTTTCTCTCGAGAATCCTCTCTAACGAACCCCAGTTTACAGATGAGAGAAATGAAGCTCGGAATGGTTTCATAACTTGCCCGAGTCCACCTAGATGGGCTGTGCTGTCTAGCTCCCAAGCTCTTGACTACTGAACCATAACATCCCCAGTTATAAGACTTTATGCTTTTGGGAAACAAAATTGAAACTTTAAAATGTTTTACCATAATCTGTGAATTCGTGCTCAGCCGTGGCTGTAGAACACACTGGTTCTGCCCTGAGATTTGTGGGTCCATCTATTTGGTGGAGTCTAAGTCACATAGGGAACCCCAACTGCAAGGGAGTCTGGGAAGTTATTGATTTCTGCAGCCTCAGAGCCACAGGGAGAGGCAGTGGAAAGGGCTGGAGTGGACGTGGAGAGAGGCAGGCCACGGGACCCAACGAGCCCTTCCCCAGGGGTGAGCACTGCAGCATTTTCGAGTTTGTTTAGATAGGTCAATCCTTCTAGATCTTTTCTGCACAATAATATAAATACAACAATTTCTATAATTTTCTGTACAATACTATATATACACATATGTGTGTGTCTCTATATGTCTAGCTTTAGTTTTAAAGCATACAAATATTACATAACTGAAACTTGCTTTTTTCATCTAAAAATACATCTTGGGGAGCTTTCCACGCCAGTTCATTCAGAGTCACCTTCTTGGTTTTAGCTGCTGCATAGCATCCCACAGGTGAGTGGGCCACGACTAACCATGCCAGGGTCGTGTTAATGCACATTGATTGCCCTTCTTTCTGCTACATGACAACAAGGCCACAGCGAATATCCCTGGATAGTACACATTGCATTCCAAAAAATCTGATGTGACCCAACATGAAATGTTCATTACTTTATGTGCCACGAAGGAAGAAAAAAATGCTATTCATTGCAAAACACATTTCAGAGATGTTAAAATGCAAAAAAATACATGCCCCTTAGCATGGATGAACTGGGTGTCTGCTCACGTTTGAGAGAATCTGTGGTGTCTTCACCATGGAGGTGCCAGGCTGAAGTATGAAGGCAAAGACGTGAAAGGAGAGGAGGGAAGGGCACGGGCAGTGCCAAGGCCCGGAGGCTGAAGGACAAGATTTAAATCATTGACAGACACTTGGAAGGTGGTGAGTGACCCCTATGCAGTTGCCTTGTGAGGTGGTGTCATTGTTACCTGGGGCTGCTGTAACTAATTAATACACACTGCAAGGCTTAAACTCACAGAAATGGGTCCTCTCACAGTCTGGAGACCAGAAGTCTGACATGAAGGTGTGGGGTGGGCTCCCGCTGGAGCTCTAGGGGGAGAATCCTCCCTGCCCCTTCCAGCTCCTGGGGGCCTCAGGCGTCCTTGTCTTGTGGCAGCACCACTCTCATATCTGCCTCCGTCTTTACACAGCTTCCTCTGTGTTTCGGAGTCTCAAATCTTCCCCTGATTTTCCTTGTAAAGACACTTGTCATTGGATTTAGGGGCCACCTGGCTAATCCAGGGTGATCTCAACTTAAGGTCCTTCATTTAATCACATCTGCAAAGACCCAGTTCCCGAATTAGGTGAGACCTAGCTGTGCAAGGTGCGAGCGTTCTGTAGGCAGGAGGGTGGGCAGGTTTGCTGCATCGGGGGACAGGGACAGGAAGCAGGACCCTCCCTCCTCTGGCACAAAGGCTCAGCTGGGCCTGGGCAGCCCCAGGGGGATGGCAAACACTCAGGGGCCCACCCAGGAGGGCTGTCAGCTGGGCAGGAGCAGGCTGCGTGTGGGTGGTGGGCAGTTCTTCAGACTCAAGATATTTTTAACTAAGACTTAAGTCCTGAGCAGGACACCAAGAAGGGCTGCATCGCCTCGCCATCTGTAATTGCTTCTGACCTCACGCATCCCCTCATCTCCGTGGGGTCGTGTTTATCTCATTCCTGTTAGCTGGCTGGAGGCTGGGTTGTCTCCCAACATCCCCAAATAGTTATTAAGTCTCTGTTTTGCAGCTGATGTAATAAAATACAGTCCCTGTCCACAGAAAGTCCCTGCCCCGGGGAGAGAAACGAATGCAGCATAGCTGCTTCATTCAAAGACGGCTAGGTAAGTGCTGTAACCAAGGCCGCGTGGGGGTGGCTGCTGGGGGCCAGGCCAGGCCCCTGCTGCATGTTGGCTCACCCCGTTTCTCTAGGTGAGGAGACACAGACTCCCTGAGGCAAAGCCCCTGCAGAGTCACACAGCTGGTAAGGGGCGGGCCGGGGTTCCACACACGATCCCAGATCCACAGTCTTGCTCTTTCTGGAACCATGTGCTGCTCGTGAATGAGGGAGGGGTGACGTTGTTGGGGGTGACACCTGAGCAAGGTGAAAGGACCGGAGCAGGATGGGCTGTCCTCTGACAAGGCACAGCCAGCAGCATATGCCAAGGCCCAGGGGTTGGAGAGCATCAACCAGTTTTAGTATGGTTAGAACATTCTAGAAATGGGGTAGGGTGGGGGTTGCATGGCAGGCAGGGCCGGATCACGAAGGGGCCTCCTGAGCCATGTCCTGGAACCTGGCCTTTGTCCTGAGCCATGGAAGGGCCCTAACCCAGGGTGCGAGGAGATGGCCTCCTCCTGAGGGGTTGGGGTGTCCCTGGAACATGGTGGGCCCACAGAGTCTGTCCCCACTTGCCTGCCCAGCCTCCCTCTAGAGGATGCTGAATCCCACTCTCACCTCCCTCCTTCTCCTTCCACACTGCCACCGCCGTGCCCAGGCCCCCGGCCGTGACAAGTCCCAGTCACCCACACTGCTTCTTAGAGCTCCAGCAGGAATGGCGGCCAAGAGGGCGAAGACGATAGGGCAGTGCAGACGTGCAGGGGCGGGCGCTGATGACTGGTAATGACCGTGACACCTGCCCCAACACGCGGCGCAGGCCCCCGCCACACACGGGATGCTCAGGCAGTGCTCAGGTAAGGAAGCAGAGGTCTGCGGGCTCAGCCTCAGCTACAGGAGGCAGAAAATGTCACAGCCTTTTTCCCACCGAAGTGGGGAGCAGGGCCAGGAGCGGTCGGGGAACATCAGGGCCAGACTGTCTTCCCGGATGTGGGATAAGGCAGCCTGTCTCTGGCCTCTCTGCGCCCCTCTTGCCTCCTTGGGGGCCGAGGCTGTTCCGGAGCCTGGCATGGGAACCCCCATTCCTCTTGAGGGGGGCTCAAGTCATCTTAGAACCTGAGTTTCCTCCTGCTGGTTGGTGCTAACCATGCAATTCATATCCTGCCTGGGAGAAGGACCAGACCCAAGCTGAGCCAGGCGGACAAGGCAGCCCCTCCTCTGGGCACCCCGCACCCCCTCAAGGAGAAATTCCCCAGTAATCAGGTAATCACCATCAGTGACGCCCCCCCACACACACACAGCACTAAGAACACAGACCCCCAGCCCTGGCTGCTCTGCGCCTCTGCTCAGCCAGCACGTTGCCATGGTGACGAGCCCCCGTGAGCGTCTCCATCACAATGCCAGCGTTTTCCCCGGGTTCTGCCTTAACACAGCCCTGGGTGGGAAAGAAACCCTCAGGTCCCCATGCTGAGGCGATTAAAGAGCAAGGACAGGAGCTGGGGATGGGAGCGAAGGACAGAAAGGGTCTGAGATGAGAGCATCCCATGGCTGCGTCTTGGCAAGTCAGATACGGACGCTGCCCTGATAGGAGAAGAAGGCCTTCCCTCTGGCTCGCCTGCTTTGTCCAGGCACGAGCTAGTCCACCTGGACCATCCTTGAGATGAGGGGTTGTGGTGAGTCACAGAAGGCTGAGGTGCCAAGAGGGGCGGCAGAGCCGGCCCACCCACTCCGGCCCTCTTCCAAGCAGGGCAGGTCCCTGAATAGAAGCCAGGGCCTCAGACACTTAAAGGAGCTGGATCTGACGGCCACGAGGGATGAAAGGGGACCCACTTCCTAACCCCTAGCAATGCTTTTTGGAGCCTCAGTTCTCTTGGACGCATCATTGCAATGGTTGGTTAGTCTTGTGTGTCAGCTTGGCCAGGCTGGAGTACCCGGTTATCTAATCAAACGTTAATCTAGGTGCAGCTGGGGAGGTATTTTGTCGCTGTGGTTCACACGTACAATCCGATGACTTTAAGTATAAAAAGGCCTCCCTCAAAAATGAGGTGGGCCGCACCCTATCCGTTGAAGGCCCTAAGAGCAAAAACCATTTTCCTGGGGAAGAAATTCTCCCTCAAGACTGCAGCAGCAGCTCCTGTCTGCAGCCTGGCAGGCCTGCCCTGCAGATTTCAGATGTGCCAGCCCCACTGCCACCTGAGCCAGCTTCTTAAAATAAATCTTTCTCTCTGGAGAACCCTGGCTGACACTCCAATCCTGTCCAAGCAGCAGTCGGCTCTCCCCCCTCCCACCCCCTGTCTCTCCCTCCCTCTGTCTCTCTTTCCCTCTCTCTCTCTCTCTCTCTCCTCCCTCCACCCCATCTTTCTCTCCCTCCCCTCACCACCACCAGGACTCTCCACAACCAACACAACAAGCCCACAAATAAGAATCCCCCCTCCCCCCCCCACCCCCACTGGTTCAGCTTCTCTCTCCTCCTCCTTCTGACCTGCCCCTGGGGGCCGGAGCCAGGCTGGGGAGCTCTCCTGGAGGCGGGTTGCGGATAGAGGCTGAGAGAAAGCTCTGTCTCTGTGGCTGCGAGGGCCGGAAGGTGGGGCGTGCGGGGCGTGCTGGGGGCCATGCATGTGCTCCTCACAGAAGGCTTTACTTGGAGGTTGGATTCTGCAGCCAAGTAGAAGTTGAATGTGCTGCTTCCGGCAGGCCCTCAGTCTGGGCTGGGGCCCAAAGCCGAGGGGGACACGTGCCTTGAGGGAACCCTGGCAGCGGCTCAGCGCTGGATGGATGGGCTGCCCCCCCCCTCCCCTGCAGCCTGTGCTCCTCCTGCCACGCCCTGCTCCCCTGCCCAGCCCAGCCGTGGAGGCAGCACACGCTGCGCAGTGAGAACCACAAAAACAAAATGCACGAAGGCTGTCCCCTGATTCTGTCCTACCCCGGGGACACTGAAAGGCTTAGAGGAGGAGGTCGCACTGGGCATGAGCCTCGGAGGGTGGCCGGTGGGGTGGGGGCAGCTGGAGAAAAGGCCAGAAGAGTTGCTTGAGCAGCATCAGGACAGCCCTACAGCTGGGGGGGGGGGCGGGGGCGGCTGCCCTTGTGCAGGATGTTGGAGGAGGAACAGGGCAGAGGGGAGACATGGCTTCCGACTGGGCCAGGTCAAGCTGTTCTGCCAAGGGGCCCCAGGGGAGAAATACAGCGGGGGGGAGGGGTCACCCCCGAAGAGGTGAAAGCTGCCTGGGGAGCAAGACACAAACCAACTGATACCCGAAATGGACAGAGGGGTTTTCTACTTAGAAGACGCTGGTTGTAAAGCAAAGAATCATCTTGTAATTAGACTAACCATGACCAAGCCAAGGATCCAGGAAATAAACAGTGCAGGGTTGAGCCCCAGCTCAGAAACGTGTCAGCAGTGTGTTCAAGGCCAAGCCCTTTCACGTCCTGGGGGCCCCCTCCCCATCTTGTATATCACAGAGACAAGATCCTTTGCCCCTTTGACTAAAAAAATTGTTTCTGGAACGCATTTCCTTCCATCCGCAGCCTGGCAATCTCTCGCTCTCTAATAATAGACTTAATTATTTAAATTTAATTTGTTAGAGGGTTGATGTTTAATTTGAAAAGCCTAATGAATTATTAATATTTAATAAATAATAAAATTTAATATCTGTTAACTTGGGTTTAAATATATAAACTATTTAATTTCTTAATTCAGTGCCTATTTAAAAAAAATAAAACAGGAATTACTCCTCGGAACCATCGGACCCCCTGTTCTCCGGCGGTGAATGGAGCGCGTGTGGGCATCCTTGTGTCCCCAGGGCCGGCTGAACGTACGGAAGGAAGAATCAGGAGGAGGTTGGGTGGCCACCCCTTCGCCTCCCCCAGGCCCAGGAGGTGCTGCGGCTGGGAGACAGTTACTGTTTAGCTGGGAAGCATCACCAATTAATACATTCTAAGTGGCCCCATTGCCCGCTGGGCCTCCCTCTTGGTGTAGCCGCTGCAGAGTGGGCAGCCTCGTCCCAGGCCAGCCAAGAAAGGAGGCTGTTTCAAGAATGAGGCTTCTAGGGAGATCAAGCTGCATGCAAACAGCTGCACGGCGCTTTTATTTTTTAAGATTTTTATTAAAAATATAGCTAACATACAATATTATATTAGTTCCACGGGTACACCATAGTTATTCAACATTTGTATACCTAAAGACGTGATCACCATGATAAGTCCAGCAACCATCTGATACTGTACCACACTATAGTCCCTCTGCTGTGTATTACATCCCCATGATGTATTTGTTTTATACCAGGAAATTTGAACTTCTTATTCCCCTTCTCCCTTCCCCCCTTTTAAAATTTTCAATTACAAGTGACATTCAATATTAGTTTATATTAATTTCAGGTGTACAACATAGTAGTTAGACATTAATATAATTTAAGAAGTGATACCCCCGACTAATCTAGTATCCACATGCCACTATGCAGTTATTACCATATTATTATTATTATTATTAGCTGAGCCATCCTGCTACCTGTTGGCAGCTCAGCGGCAGCTCAGCTCAGGCCGGGAATTGAACCGGCAACCCTATTGCTCAGAGCTCGCACTCTTAAGCGAGCTCTTAACCAACTGAGCCATTCGGCCGGCCCCACTATATTATTGAATATATTCCCTGTGCTTTACTTTACATCCCCATGACTATTTTGTAACTGCCAATTTATACTTCTTAATCCTTTCCCCTTTTTCACCCAGCTCCCCAACTCCTTTCCCATATATTGCCCCAACAAATTTTGCACCCATCTGCACTATACATAGTTATTACAATATCATTGACTATATGATATCATATAAGCAAAATCACATTGCATCTGTTTTTCTCTGTCTGACACTCCACTCAGCACAACACCCTCCAGGTCCATCCATGCCACCACAGATGGCAAGAACCCGTTCCCAACCATGGATGAGCAATATTCCACTGTATATATGTGCCACCTACTCTTTATCCATTCATCCATCGACAGACACCCAGGCTGCCTCCACATCTTGGTCATTGTAAACAATGCTGCAATGAACATATGGATGCATATGTCCCCTTGAAATAGCGTTTTGGGTTTCTTCAGATAAACACCCTGAAGTGAGATTACTGGGTCCTTCTTTGTCTCTTGTTATAGCCTTTGTTTTAAAGTCTATTTTGTCTGGTATAACTATTGCTAACCCAGCTTTTTGTTTGTCTGTTCCCATTTTCATGAAATAACTTTTTCCATCCTTTACTTTCTGTCTCTGTGTGTCTTTTTATCTTAAGTGAGTCTCTTGGAGGCAGTATATGTAAGGGTTTCTGTTGAGAAATCAGCTGACAGTCTTATGGGGGCTCCCTTGTAAATTACTAGTTGCCTTTCCCTTGCTGCTTTTAGGATTCTCTCTTTGTCTTTAACCTTTGCCATTTTAATTATAATGTATCTTGTGGGTCTGTTTGGGTTCATCTTGTTTGGGACTCTGCGCTTCCTGAACTTGTATGTCTATTTCCTTTGCCAGGTTAGGAAAGTTTTCAGTCATTATTTCTTCAAATATGTTCTAAATTTCTTGCTTTCTCTCTTCTCCTTCTGGTACCCCTATGACATGAATGTTGTTAAGCTTGATGTTGTCCCAGAGGCCTCTTAAACTGTTCTCATTTTTTTTGGATTTTTTTTTTCTTTTTGGTGCTTTGAGTGTTTTCTGCTACCTTGTCTTCCAAACAGCTGATTCAATCCTCTGCTTCATCTAGTCTGCTAGTGATTCCTTCTAGTGCATTCTTCATTTCA